TTTCCTTTTCTAACTTTTTTCATTTTATTTATTTTAAAGTTTTTTTAAAATGTTTTTATTTATTTCTGAGAGAGACACCGTGAGCAGGGGAGGAACAGAGAGAGAGGGAGACACAGAATCTGAAGCAGGCTCTAGGCTCTGAGCTAGCTGTCAACACAGAGCCCGATGCGGGGCTCAAACCCACGAACCGTGAGGTCGTGACCTAAGCCGAAGTCGGACGCTTAACCGATTGAGCCACCCAGGCGTCCCATTTTATTTACTTTAGAGAGTGAGAGCGAGCAAGGTAGAGGACCAGAGGGAGGAAGAGAGAGAATTTTATGCAGGCTCTGACATGAGGCTCAATCCCATGACCCTGAGATCATGACCTGAGCTGAAATCAAGAGTCATTTGCTCAACCAACTGAGCCACTCAGGGGCCCCAACTTCTATCTGCATGTAAAAAAAATCAAGAACAGCAGCTCTAAATAAAGACATGCACAGAAATCAAAATGAAATAAGGACTTGCCAGCTTTGCAAGACGATTTTCCTCTGGTCAGCATCTTCTACTACGTGGTTTCTTTGTTCTTCCCTCGGGTCTAATAAATTACCTACCTTGAGAATTTCCTTTACAGAGCTGGATGGTTCTTGCTTTAGTCATCATTGGTACAGCAACGCCTCTGCTCCAGGTGTGGGAACTCTGTGAAAACCAAGCGCACCTCACACTCGGAGCTCATCTCATGGTGGCCAATAGGGTCAAGAAATTTTTCAAGTCAAAAATCAAGACATATGGTCTGATGGTAAAAATCAAATCTAGGAGGACAACAAAACACAATTTTGTCATACTGAACAAAAAAAAAATATATTGAAAAATGATCACTGTAGTCATGTTGACCTTACGAAGGCATGTTGACCCACACTCCCCACCCTTGCTCCAAAGGAGAAGGCATGAAAGGCAATTTCCCTTTCTATTTTGAGAAGTCTTTTATGGCCACTTAAAATCTGATTCAGGGTCTAGCAGCTTCCTTTTCCAAGAAGATACAGAAGATAATAAGAATGGTTATTCCTCTTTTTTCATGACTAGGTCACGTCTCTGAGCACATCATAAGCCTTTCGGTCACTAGGGATTTGCTGTGTGCATTTAGTTGTCTGCGCATGAGGGATGCTCATTTAATTCTTCCCAGTTACACTGCAGGATGGAGCAAGCACTGTCCGTGGATGCCACTTATAAACCTTAATAGGTAAGGGGAAGAAAGAAGTGGCAGAAGGAAGTGTGTGGAAAGGGAGTTTAAGAGCAAGAAAAAGGAAGGAGAGAAGGGAGAGCAGGTGCCCCCAGCAACTGCTGAACCATTGAAGGCTTTAGATCATCTGTCTCCACTCTCCTGGAAGTCACCAAATGTGTCACTTTACCTTATTGATCAATTGATCAATTTGTATCAATTTGTATCAATTGATACAAATTGATCAATCATCCTTTTTCCATGACAGGAGAGTAGAAGAGAGTGTAAGATTTTCTATCGAAAAACAAATAAATATTTTGTCTATGTTTATTCTGTGCCAGGGTGTTAAGTTGTTTATTTGACCTTGACCAGAAAGAGAGATTGAGCATTTAGAAATGTATATGATTGTTTATTGCTATTTTTTCATGACCTTATTTGCCCATATCACAGAGAAAGGGGATTAAGATCTCAGTATCCTTTTACAAATATTGAGAAGGAGGAAAGCTAACTTATTTATCCCTGGTGCAATTTATTACCCTCAAGAAAATATAAGTGCTTGACTCTATGCTGAAAATAGCCCACTTACATTTTAGTAAAAATCATGCTGTGTGTGTTGAATTTACAAAAATTATCATTGGTTACATCATTTAACTAATTCTTCATTCATGGCTCTGCAAAAGCTCTTCGTTCCCTCTGCTTGTCCTCAGGTAACACCATCTTATGTGAAATGCTGTGGACATATTAAAAATAACAAAATATTGAATCATAATTCAAATACTTCTGTCCATTGTGGGGTAAATATGTATAATTCATGTCTTCAGCTCTTGCCAATTTCTCATGTTACTTAGAAAGTATCCACCTAAGACCTGGCTGCTTCAGAAGGAAATTCTGAAGGATTATTTCATTATTATTTTATATGTTGAGATTCTATTATGTATAATCATGAGACTTTTTATGTGACTATAACTCTCCTGGGTTGTTATTTTGGTTTTTTAATCTTTAAGTTCATATTTAAAAGGCAAAAACATCTTCAACAGGAGCTGTTTTGTAGAGAGAGGCTCCCTCCTGCAATGGATTTTTCCATCTAAATTAGTTTATACCACTGTTTTGCCAAAAACATGTACATAACCCTGTTAAATCCCTCCTTGCCACAACCCGATCAGAGGATCATAAAGTCATACCAGGCAGCCCCAAGGTATCTTATGCAACAGTCTCCTTTACCAGGCTCTCTGCAGTGGACAAGTTTTGGTTTCCAGGCTCTTCCTGACACACAAGCATCATGAGTCCTTCTTTCTTTTTTGTCTCTTCATGTGTCAGTTTCTTTCTGTCCTTCAGACAGACTGTCTTCTGCCTAGGCATCCTATAGTCGGCTGGTAGTTTGTCTTCACAGCAGGTAGAACTTCAAGAGGTGGGGTGTTCTCTGCTGGGTCGTGGAGGGTCAGCACTCGATGGCTCACAGTGGCAGAAGGAATATTCACCTGCCTGCTTCCTCCTGAACTCAGAAACCTCTGGTCCTCGGAATGCCCATGAAATGATCGCTTCCTTGGGCATGGCCCTTCCCTTGCTACAAGTCAGTGTGTGTACATGACTCGAATCACATAATGGAGCACACGGAGAAATTTTGCATTGATGCATTAATTCATCGAATAAATATCTTGCTGAGGTCGCACCATCAACCAAACATTTACTGGGCACTGGATGGGTAAGACATAGTCGCTACCCTCAAGGAGCTTATAATTTAGTAGGCTAACCAATTTTGAAAGACTCTGATGATTAAAACCCTCCATCAGTTTGGTTGAGCCATTAATGCAGAAACTGAGAGACTAGGGGGAAAAGGGCAAGTCACAGAGCCTGGATAAAGATTTTCAACATTATCGGGAGCTCCCGCATCCAGGACAGCCCATAGAATAGACAAGACCATAGGGGCGCCTGGGTGGCTTAGTCGGTTAAGCGTCCGACTTTCGCTTAGGTCATGATCTCGCGGTTCGTGGTTTCGAGCCCCGCGTCGGGCTCTGTGCTGACTGCCAGCTCGGAGCCTGGAGCCTATTTCAGAGTCTGTATCTCCCTCTCTCTCTGACCCTCCCCTGCTCACGCTGTCTCTCTCTCTCCTAGAAATAAATAAAAATATTTAAAAAAAAAAAAAAAAAGAATAGACAAGACCTGACCTCTCAAAAGTATGCATTTTTTTTCATTAGGCCATGTGGGTGTTTTATTTTGTTGTGGTTGTTTTTAACTTAAACCATTTATCTTTCCCTGTCTGAATATCTGAAATGACATTAGTCATTTGGATAGTCCTGCTGGCTTCTCAGGACAAGTCCTATTATGACAATTTTTGTATTGTAAGAAGCTTTAAAACAAAACAAAACAAAACAAAACAGGCTGTTAATAGGAATTCAGTCAGCTACCAAAGAAGTTGGAGCCCAAAGGAAACAGTCTGCCCTGTCAAATAGCAGGGCTGACCTTCGGGTCCAGGCCCTTCGTGTCCTTGGGAACATTTTAGAGCCTTTCCCTTGGCCATCTCCCTATCACTTGTGAACACTTAACCAAAAACCTTTAAACCAGGAAGAGGAGATGCCATTTCAAGCTAGCCAATTCAAGCTTATCCTTCAACTGCTCTCTGTTTGCTATGGGGAAGTTCTTGATCCCTCTAATGACAGAAATACAGGGGCAGGGGTCCCTGTGTGGCTCAGTAGTTTAAGCACTCGACTCTTGATTTTGGCTCAGGTCATGAACTCACGGTTTGTGGGATCAAGCCCTACATCAAGCTCTGTGCTGACAGCATGGAGCCTGCTTGGGATTCTCTCTCCCTCTCTCTCCACCGTTCCCCTGCTCTCTCTCTCTCTCTCTCTCTCCTCCCCCCCAAAATAAATAAATAAACTCCAAGAAAAAATTTTTTAAATACAAGGGCAGATTCTCTCTACAACTCTGATTTATTTGCCACCATTACTGTTTTCCATTCTAATTACTGTGGTGTTGGGGGCATTTGTGAGCTGTGATTGTTACTACAGAATTCTAACAGGAAAGCATGTGTCAGAAAATAGAAAAATATATCCTCAAGTTATAAGGGGCCAGTGGCTTCTCTTATCCCCACCCCCAGCCCACCTTTATTTTACTTACTTTGATGGAGTGCTCACTGTGTGTTTACAGGGCTGGCCTGGGGCTGGGCAGGGGACTAAAAAGGTGACTGAGAGGTAAGCAGGCCTTCAAGGAAGGAACTAAACTAGCAGATGAACGCCTGAGACAAACAATTCCATAGGAGCCGAGAGACTGTGCGGTAGATGCCATGGAAACACAGAGGGGAACTAATTCTCTCTGCAAGGGGCGTCGGCAAAGGCTTCCCAGAGAAACTGGGCCCTTCCGGTGTTCACGCTTCATGATTAACAGACAGTTAAGACGAAACCCAGAGAAGCAAAGGAAAGACACCTCCAGCTATTGGGATCCTGGAGGGAGGGGGGTTGCTTTCAAATGATTTTAAAACCATTTAGCATTTTCAATAGTTTTCTTTCCCGGGTTTACTAGCTCTCACCCCTACCCCCTCCGGGTACCTGACGGAAGTGGGTGCTCCCTGTCCTACACAGGTGCTAGAGCTTGTCCAACAAGGCATTAACGGGGCTTTCAAGGACAGTGATGAGTTCTGCCAGCACACACAGTAGCCGGCACTCAGAAGAGCAACACGTCTTTACCGAGACCAGGGTTAACCCCTCTCCCTCTCCTGTTCTTCCTCGCCCCCAGGTCTTTGCGGAAGGCGGGGTGTGGAACCTAACCACCGGGTGTCCATGACCCCCGAGGTTGCAGCCCATCAGCAATGAAAGGGTTATCGGGCAGCCGCAGCCACCACCACGGGGTCACCTGTGACTCGGCCTGCGACTCGCTGCCGCACCACTCGGACCGCAAGCCCTACCTGCTGAGCCCGGTGGAGCACCACCCGGCCGACCACCCCTACTACACGCAGCGGAACTCCTTCCAGGCCGAGTGCGTGGGCCCCTTCAGCGACCCGCTGGCCAGCAGCACCTTCCCGCGCAGGCACTACACGTCGCAGCAGGAGCTGAAGGATGAGTGTGCCCTGGTGCCCCGCACCCTGGCCGCCAAGGCCAACCGCATCCCTGCCAACCTCCTGGACCAGTTTGAGAGGCAGCTGCCGCTCGGCCGAGATGGCTACCACACGCTGCAGTACAAGCGCACGGCCGTGGAGCACCGCAGCGACAGCCCCGGCCGCATCCGCCACCTGGTCCACTCGGTCCAGAAGCTCTTCACCAAGTCGCACTCCCTGGAGGGGCCGTCCAAGGGCAGCGTCAACGGGGGCAAGGCCAGCCCCGACGAGACGCAGACGGTGAGGTACGGCAAGCGCAGCAAGAGCAAGGAGCGGCGCGCCGACCCCAAGGCCCGCGCCAACGCGTCCCCGGGCTGGTGGAGCTCCGACGACACCCTGGACGGCGACGTGTGCATCTACCACGCCCCCTCGGGAGTGATGACCATGGGCAGGTGCCCAGACCGCTCGGCCTCGCAGTACTTCATGGAGGCCTACAACACCATCAGCGAGCAGGCGGTCAAGGCCTCCCGGAGTAACAATGACGTCAAGTGCACCACCTGCGCCAACCTGCCCGTCAACCTGGACGCGCCGCTCCTGAAGAAGAGCGCCTGGTCCTCCACCCTGACCGTGAGCCGGGCCAGGGAGGTGTACCAGAAAGCGTCGGTTAACATGGACCAGGCCATGGTGAAGTCCGAGGCGTGTCAGCAAGAACGCTCCTGCCAGTATCTTCAGGTACCATTCATGTCGAGGGATGGATGCTTAGAAATTGTGCCTGCTCATTGTGTGCTGTCTTCTCCGGGGTCCTAGTCTGGTCTGCATGAACCTGAGCAAATTGTTTAGCATTTCTCTGGCCAACTGCTCCTCTCAGGAAACAAAACTGCCACCGGCTTCCTCCGGTTATCTTGAGATTTAAAACTGCTTTGAAAAAAGCACGCCCACATAAAGGCGTGGAGTTATTAATGATTAGTGTTCCTTTTTTGTCTCCGAGAACACGGGATAGGGAGCAGAGAAAAGGGGACTCTACACAGACTTTTAAAATAAATCCACCTTTTTTTTTTTTTACAAAAGTCAACAATGATCTTTTGAATTCTGGAAAGAGTTTAATAGGATCTATCCAGAGGCTTTTATTTTATTATTATTTTTATCGTAAAATTCTGCCTTAAGCTATTTGTTTGGGAATCTTGATCTCTATCTTCACCAACAAAAGTGTTAGCACACTGCCAACGCTAACCACACTCCCACCTCCTCCCTCCATCCTCACCTCTCCACCCCCACACCCCCCACACCCCCAGAGCACAGGGAACTGGGGTAATAATGCCCTGGGTGCTGAGCAGGTGGAGATGGAGCCAGTTTGGGGACCTGACCAACGCAGCTGCAGAGACCCGGGACAGCAGAGAAGAAAAAGAAAAGCGGGGGAAAGCATCTACACAATAAAATGCGATTAGTGTCAGCGTGTAAATCCCACACATGAACAGCCCCAAGCAAGCCACTCCTTTTCTTCTTTCCTTACCATCCTTCCATTCACTGAACCTACATAGAGTCTTTTTGTCTCTCCCGCCCCCAGCCCTCTCTCTAGTATTGTCATTTTCCCCCAAATATAACCCTCCCTAAGAAGGACCCTCCTGTTTTTACCTCTTCACGGTGTCTTTTTTTCCCTCTCTCCTCTCCTGCGACACCTATCTTTTTTAAAAAAAAGTTTTTATTGGACTATAAAGGCATGACATAATCATTTCCCACTCTCATCTTAAGAAGGAATGCAAGCGAGTCAGTCTTCCACTGAGAATTCAACTTTTTGCTCTCTGAATTCCTCCTTGCAAGCCTGGGTCCCTTGAGAATGCCTTTACCAAGCCCTGCAAGTATGCCAGGCTGGCAGTCCGTGGGCAAGGACATCCCAGTGTTCGGAAGCCACCAACATGTGGGTGTTTTCACAAAGAGCACACAGCCACGTGGTCAGTTTCTCCCACTGAAAGTAAATGAGGTATTGCCTCATTTACTACAAGGCTGCTGGATGAGTTAAGTCATCAAGAACTATTCATGGAATTTTAGAGCTAAACAGTACATCTAATCCAACCTCCTCATTTAGCATACAGGAAACTAGACTCAAAGAAAGGTAAAGGCTTATGGGTTATACTGTGACGCTGTTAGTTTAGAGGTAGGATAGAATCCAAGGCCACTTAATTTATAGAAATGACCACGACAATCTTACCCACCACCTAGAAGAAAGTATTTTGATTAGAACATCTGTCCTGAAGAAAGGATGAGTAATGAGACAGGAGCCCTAGAACAGGATGTTTTAGCTATGAAAGTTCTGTAATGAGTGGCAAGAAAAAACACAAGTTTTTAAGAACCTGGACTTTAATCAGTAGTGGTGAGATGAGATAAGAAATAGCAGATTAAGAAAGGGTACTCTACATGGCTCCAGACCAGCCTTCGGAGCCTTAACAAAATGCTTTCATTATCCTTGCCTCACTGCTTACGTTCTTCCTACCTTAAATTCATTTTTCTTTCTTTTTGATACCTTTTTGAAGTAAAAGGCTTCAGGAGTGGTGAAAAGAGGAAGGAAGAAAGAAAGAAGGAAACTGATATTGACTGAAAATCTACTATGTACCAGATACTGTAGCAAAACATTTTCACATTTGTCATTCCATTTAATTTTCAAAATAATCCTGAGGGCTTGATATAATAATACTCTGTTTTTACAAGAGCAGGAACAGATTTAGAAATATCAAATGATTTAAAGCCTCATGGCCAATATGCTGAAGACCCAAGAATTAGACTTATCTCTATTCCATGCAAAATAGCTTTTTCCAGTACACCCAGCGCAGCTCTGGAATCAAGGGCATGAAAACAGTGAACAGGAGAAAAAAAAAAGCCTGTAGAGTAAACATACTGTTATTAAAAGCTTTGCCATAAAATGAGAATGAGAGCTTGAAGATTGAAGTACGAGATTTAGTATCATAGTATTATTGGATCTCATATCAGAAAGATTTGGAAATTCTATTTTCAAGTTATTTACCTTATTTTAAGCTGGTTTTTTAATGAAACGTTGGAAGCTTACAGAAAGTATAATGAAAAATAATAAGAAAACAAACACCCAGTTATACATAACCCAACTAGAGAAATAAAACATCAATTACAATGGATCACATATATACCTTACCCAATCCCATATCCTTCCCTCCCTCCCCAGAGCAACAGCTAGTCTCACTTTGTTACCCAGAGGGCTTTAGTTTTTAATTCTGAAGTTATTGAAAGATTGGAAAAAATTAATATTTTCTATCCTACGTTGGGCAATAATTAACGTTGAACCAAGCTAGTTAAACCCTTTAAATATAAACTGAGCTCGAAAGCACACCTTCTTTAATAAATATTGACATTTATTGAGCTCCTGTTCTGTACGAAACTTTCAGACTGGAAAAAAAAAAATTCAGTGTGAGCAGGTTGTGTGCCTGGCAGATAAACTAGATGTAGAACGGCATGTTCTTCCCAGACAGTGTGCCGAAGTTAAAGGGCTCCTGTGAAGAAGGGGAAGGAGCTGGACATTCACAGTGGGGGAGAGGAGAAGGAAACTCCTGAAGCTGGACATTCTCTCCAGCTCTCTCCTTGCTGTAGAGGAGACAGAGACTCTGCGGTCCTGCCTGAGCTTTTCTCAGACAGGTGTAGCCAGGCCCTGCCTGTTCCCATGAAATCATTTTTTTCTAAATATTTTTATTTTATTTCTAGGAGAGAGAGAGAGAGAGGCAGTGTGAGCAGGGGAGGGTCAGAGAGAGAGGGAGACACAGACTCTGAAACAGGCTCCAGGCTCTGAGCTGGCAGTCAGCTCAGGGCCCGACGCGGGGCTCGAACCCACGAACCGCGAGATCATGACCCAAGCGAAAGTCGGACGCTTAACCGACTAAGCCACCCAGGCGCCCCCCCCATGAAATCATTTCATTTGCAGGCTCATTCTTAGAAACAAATTTGGGGAAATAAGGAAAAGTGGGCTTTTTTCCCCAGTTACATTGTCTTAATTACCAACTAATATTGAAACTGGGTTTACAGATGTGTAGGCTGACTTCAGCCTTGCAAAGTTAAGTGGACAAAGCATTAAATTTCGAAAGAGGGGGTCTATGCTCTAGTCCCTGCTTGCCACTAACTAGTTAGTGATCACTTATTACCATCATCTCAGCTCTCTGGGTCTCCTTCCTCCGCCATAAGATGAGGCATTTGGTCTAGAAGGCCTGAGGTCTGAGTTCATATTTTTAAACTCCTTAGTTACATAAGGAGAGTACTAATTAGAATAATTTTTAAGAGTTACAAGGCTGGAAACTCTCATTTAATAAATGGACCAAACACCCATATTTTCCCAGTGTTATCCTAATTTTCTCTGTACAACTCTGTGAGGTATTTTACAGTTGCAGAAACTGAGATTTAGTAAATTAGGTTAAGTAACTTACCTAACGACACACAGTACGCAGCAACGTGGAGGGTCAGAACAGATTTGTCTGGCTTCAAAGCCTGGATTTTTCTATTTACCATGTCCAATCCCTACCCCTTCCAAATATAAAAGAGGAAGGAAGTGGCATATATCAAATACCTGTTATGTGCCAGACACCACACAGTATCTCATTTAGTACCTGAAATAACTTCATAACGTATTACTATTTACTCCAGTTTTACAGATGACTAAACTAAGGCATGAAAGCTTAAATTGCTTACCCAGCAATGCACATAGATAGTAAGCAAAAGAGCTAAGACCTGATCTCAGATCTAAGTCTAAGATGTGTTCCAGAAATAGAAATAAATGCTTTTATTTTATTACCTGTATTATTCTGTGGCAAACGGACATGTTCCTTTGACTTCATATTTGTTGCGAATGCAGTTGAGAATGCCTGTACCTGAAATGTGACCTTCGATAAGCAGCAGAATGAGTGATCTGCCCCTCATTTGATTCAAGACTGCACAAAAGTTAAATTAGCATTCACCAATAATAGAATCGAAATACTAGCAATGTTCTGATTCTCTCCTTGGAAAACTATCACTTGGAATTAATTTAACTTAGGCCATCACCATGGTTATACAGAAAATGAGATGTCTGTAGGTATTTGCCCTCTGTCTGACGTTGATTTAGAAATAAAATACTGTAGCTTGAAATTATTGCAAGATCCAGTGAATACAGTCAATTGTGGTATGTCCTCACTCACAAGCTGTTTGTAGTTAATAAAAAAAAAAAAAAAGACTCCCATTTTCCCCCCAATATTGTTATTTTTAAATGTCAAGAATCAGATGTCTCCTGTTTAGAATCTTGTACCGCTGCCAGTGACTGTATCAGGGTTTGGAGCAGGGACATGGATTTGAAGACATTAAAACTGTTTAATTCTCAGTTGAGATGTGGTTGGCTTTTATACATCTGGAATAGAGCATTTATGGCACATCTCCGGGTAAGTGTTAATAGTTCAGTAAATAAACTAGGAATGGGCTCAAAGGAATAAAAGGAGTTTTTGTTGTTGTTTTGTTTTGCTGTAAAAAAAGGTAGGATTCTTAGTTCTGTATATGCCTCTTTATGTGAACGTTATGTGTTGAGTGACTAGCATATAAAGCCATTCAGATGAGCAAGATTTTAGATTTCCAACTGTTAACCTGAAAAAAAAATCCCTTCAATCATGTATTTTGCATTCATCCAGCAGCAGACACAGTAAAAGGGAAACAAAACGCTCTCTCCCCGGTAGAAGTAGAGACACAGGGAGAGGGAG